AAAAAAAACTAGCTCGAGTCACGACGCAAACGGGGAGCTTAACAGCTAAAAATGGCACGAGGGCCGACCATCTGCCTTCATATTACATCTTTGTGTTCGCATTTTCTTTGACACTTAGAAAAAATGATGGGTGTCACCATTGATTGATTGACCTATAAGCTCACATTTTCTTGAAACACTTTCCATCCGGCTCTTCACATTCTTCTGGCGAAGGTTCGGTTTTGGGTCTAGTCAGCACATTTGGCAATGCAATAATAAAATCATTATTTACTTCAACACTCATTTATTTTATTTTGAAACTCTTTATTGTAGTTTGTACAAGGTATCATAAAAGCATGCAGGATTGTTTGAAATGGTACCCAAACTGTAGCACTTACAGTTAACTACTAGCCCACTTTTAACTCAAACATTCCAGGACAGTACCTTTGAAGTAATCAAGGCTTTCCCCACACACACGCAAGCGCATAAATTAACCTACACTAAGTCTGGCACATAAGAGGAATCTAGTTTTTCAGCATGAGAAACATCATACACTTCCCCTTCCATATTCCTCTCATCAAAAATGTAAGTCTTACTATAAGGAAGGGGCAGAAAAGCACAATAGGATGCATTTAACAACACAACTTGGGGGAAAGCACCAAAACATAAGCTTACTTAATAAACAAGTTGCTTAGGCACTAATACAATACAATCAATCATATGAAATATATATATACAGCTTGTGCTTCCCAATACTACTCTTAAATACTCTTCAGAAAACATAACTAGGGAATCTGCTATATAGGTACCCTAAATAGATTGATCCCCTTTAACTTCAGTATCTGACAAATAAGTAACTTATGCCACCCTGAACATTGACAATATATGGCCGGATTTAAGAAGACTGAAACAATAAAGCATCTCATAATTTATAATTTCACAGCACTAACATAACACCTAATCCGTAAAGATGCATATAATTCAAAATCATAATCGTAACAAGATACACTGGTCAAATATAATGGCAAAACCATTTGTCTTTATCGTTGATTATTAATTAAATATATATTTTCAAACATGTGAAGCTCGACAGAAAAAATGAATAGACTATAAACCATTTGTATAAAATCTCTAATGGAAAATAACATAACATGAAACTAATAGAATTCAAAGCTGGAAAATTTGAGGACAGTTACTAACGGCATGGTGCATCGAGTCCATTATATTCAATTTCACAGAAATATCAGACAGCATAAGAACTAAACTTACTGAGAATATCACTTCATCACCATAGGCAATATACTTTTGAATTAACCAATTAACTCATAAAAAACACAACAGAGAAAAATCACGGTTTAGTTGTGTTGCTATAACTTAGATCTTTTCATAACATAAAAGAAATTCTCAAGAAAACAGAAACAGGAAGAGAGCCATTTTAAGCAAAGTTTAAGAATATAAAAGGAAGCGAAAAATCAACAAATTATAAAGAAACTAATTAAAAAGAAAAAAAAGGCACAATGCCCCTGTCGGGTGAAACTTTGTAAATCAGGGCCTGAAGATTCAAGGTGAGAGGCCAAATAGATATCAAGAAGTTTCATGACAATAAGAAAAAGGGCAGATTTAAACTTTACACAAATTAACAGGGAGGCACAGGCTGAAAGAACCAGGTGGCGCATACATACCACAAAAAGCACTCAAAAATATTCTGATAAGTATGTAATAATAAACTACAAATTTTCCTCAATGAAAGACACATATACACCACACAAATATAATTGAGGCTACAATTACACATCAGTCCATCATAAACCATAGGAGATCATCACTTAAATGGTAATTTATAACCATATTTATAGCCATACAACCTACATATTAACCACACATTTGGTACTTTCAGTTCTCATAATTCAAAGAAAGTTTTACTTCTAGTTTAAAGTATTGGTAGAAAGAGTAAGCATTAACCTTACTACACCAGCACAGTTGGCGTTAAGGAATACATCCAAGCATCATGATGTAGGACAATATAGATCCCTTGTGTTGCACAGCAGGGAGCTATTCAAATAGCTCCACTTAAGTATATAATTTTGAGCATAGTACTTGTGACATCTCCTTCAAACACAGGCATATTTCATCTGTGTTATCCAGATAGGACTGCCCCAAGTTTGATAAAACACATCTCAAAGAATATAATTTTCCATAAGTAAAATTTGCAGCTACTTAAATTTTTCAGCACCTGGAAGTTGCTATGTCCAAAGAGCTTTTAATACTTCATATAATTCTTTGCATCCTGTAGTTTTCTGACAATAGCCTAGTTATAATTGCTCTGCCCTTCATCACAAACAAGATTTTTATAAATACATATAATGAACCATATATAAAATATTGGAATGACAATTCAATTCTACCTTGGACTCAGAAGACGCCAAAACCCAGGTACCTATTGCAAATGACAAAGCAAAAATTGACATTTGGCTGAAGAATAAAAAGCATTAATTTAGAATAAATCTTTGTCTTCAAAGCTGAAGTCATGCGTCATAGGGACGAAATTCCTCAAAGGCAAAGGAAATTCAGACTCACAAGAGTAAACAGCAGGCACATCACACATTACACTTAGTCAACAAGCAATATTGTACCCTATGATACCATAGGCAATGGCACTTTCAATTCTTTAAAAATTTTGCTCCGTTTTAACAGTTTTACCAGAGCAAAAATAAAATGAAACTCATTCTAAAATAAAAAAGTGAGACATTCACAGGAACTTCTTCAATTATAAAACAACCACAACTGTGGTACATGTTATAAACCGAAGTCATTTAAGTGAGAATGTCAATACTTAAAAACATGAGTTAACCCAAAGAATTCATCGACTACAATTACAGACAAATTTGAAACAATATATGTGGCAAATTTTGGAAGCAGTGCTTGTCAGACCATGAATGGCAGACTGGGCAGAGAAAATTGTCATCAGACAAAAATAAGCTGCATAAGAAATAATGCAGTGTAAACAAGATAACAGCCACCGGCTGGTTGAGAGAAATCTGACACAAACAAAATCAATAGTCATCAGATATGAAAGATCAAATGACACTGCCAGGTATATCCTTGTATTTTAATTTATAGATTTTAAGATTTTTCAATCAACATCAAAAGATAACACATGTTATGGACTAGTTTGTTTTATGTTGTTTTACATTGATGTGGATCAATTACTTATAAAAGACAATAGCATCATGAGCAATATACATAAGGTACATCCTTTATATAATTTGGCACAGCATAAATAAATAATGCATCAAACTCATGCTTTCTAAGCAAAAACAAAAAAATGAGAGTATGATAGATTACAATTCCAGAAGTGAGAATATGGAAATAACTTGTCCACATAGCATGTCAAAATGAAGGCAGCATACAGTGCTACCAATATACATGCTAGCTGAGAGAGCCAAAAGAAAACAACATAAGAGCTGCAGGAGCAGCATGAAACAATAAGGCAACAAACATTGAGATTTATGTCAATTGATGAAAGATTTAAAAAGGCCTATAAGGTAACAGGAACAAAAGACAAAAGAGTTATTATGCAAATTCTGAAATTTTTCTACTAAGACCCAAAATCAATCATATTCTTCAATTTCAAAATGAGTTACATGACTGAGGATAAAATAAATGGTCACATCCTGATAATCACAGTTTGCTTGGTATCGAAGAGTTTTGAATTCCATATTTGCACAACACTTCGAGGGACACTTAAGTGATTTGAAATATTTCATCACAAGAAGAATTAGCCAAGCTGGTTTGACATGGTTAAAGGTGTGAAAGCAAAGACACAGCTGTAGCTTAACCTGCACAAGGCAACAACACTCAGGTAAGTGGAGCAGGAGCAGATCACTGTAATTGGACTATCACATCACTCAAAGCTAAATAAAGGTAAAAGAATTGGCAACATCTGTGTGGGAAATAATTATTGATTGACCATGAATAAGTCTACTCAAGTATACTTAAGAGACCGATGAAATAGCATTGTGTGGGGCACCCATCTGGGTTAAAACTTTATCCAACCACTGTAAAGGTCCATGAAGGTGGACTTCAATCCAGCATGGTGTACTTGTCACATCCTGACGGTGATATTCTGCACCCCACCCTTTGACAAATGACATTCTGCAAAAGATAAAAAAAATAATTCATGAGCATGTGAGCAAATTTCAATAAAACTTATCGATGGGCATAGCAAGAAGGATTACAGGTGACTTACCGAATAGTGCACATTTTTGTAAGTTCATATACTGCTTCAAAACCATGATTAACACTTTGTGACAATAACTGAGCAAACTCCTGGTTGTTGAAGATCTTCAAGGAACAGGATGGAGGAATCTTGCAAACTGTGCTAGGGTGGAAACCATGGTGATGGTTACAGTTCCTTGACTGCACAAATATGGCACTGTCTGACATACATTCAGCATAGACCTCCCCACCCACATAATACAAATGAACACCTAAAAATTTTAAAAACAACATAATTATAAAAGAAGTGAAAAGGGTTAATTCAGAATTACATATGCAATTTGAAAATAATAATAACAGATAAGAAGATTACCTTTTCCAATGTGTCGTCTTGTGTTTTCAATGGTTGAATTTCTATTAACATTAGAAAGTTGTCCAAGGCAAAATCTGTCAAAGTTGTTGCTTGGGTTGGTGAATCCATCCACAGTTACTGAGTGTGCTTGGCAATGAAACACCTCCCCAACTCTGCAGTTCAATTCATAGTAAGCTATACTGGCCCAATACCTTGGTTCCTATCAGAAGGGAATGTACATGGTAAGACAAATCCAAATGGAAATTTCACAAATAAATAAATATGAAAGAACAGACTACACACTTGGTAGGACACAGGAGCAACTTCAGCACTCATTTTGGTTACATCCATTGCTTGGTCAGTATTATTGGAACCTGGTTGGCTGTCATCAGAGGGACTGTAAGCTGGAGGTGGTGTTTCTAGAAACAAAATAATTCGACTAATGCGTGTTCCAATAGAAATAAAAAGTAGACCAAGAAAACATTTGTCACAATAAAATCCTCTCCACACAAATGCACAATTACCTGGCAAGCCACTGCTGCCATAGGGGCTTTGCGGGCCACCTCCTGAGCTTGCTGGACTTGGCACACTGCTGATTGGGGAGCCAGGATTCTGACTGGCATGTGTACTTGATGTGCTGAAACCTATTGCAGAGTATGATACATTGTGCGGCATGGCAGGTTCTGGAATCTGTTGGAATGGCAGAAGTGAGTGCCCAGGTGCAAATTCACTATGGCGGGGCACAAGTACTGGTGGTAGCACTGAAAATAAAAAAAATAGTAGAAGAACTTTTGAAATAAAACTGTGCAGCTTCATTAAGAAATGAGATTACATATTACAGGCTCACCTGGACTCTCAACCCTCTTATAATGGTAAGGATTTATGCACACTTCTTTTTGTTTGGCAGAAAATGGATACTGACAATGTTCCAAAGGTTTTAACTCATGATGTGATTGAAGATCTGGCCACCTCCAAACCCGGCAATATATAACATGAGGCAGACCTTTGCGATGAGATACCTAGATAGAAATCTTTATTATTTCCTCATATACTAGGAAGAAAACAGATTGCTCTTAAGAATATAGGTTAAGCAAACCTGGAGTCTTCCATCCAAACTGCGGGGAATTGTCACACATTTACTGTCTGAGCCGGGTGAGCTAAGGGCTTTCTCAAGGTCTTCAATAGCACCTTTACGTTTCTTTAATTTTTTTACAAGTGAGTCAACGGCTTTCTCAGCCCACTTTTCTTCTTCATCTCCTTGTTTCCATCCAAGTAGCTTTTTGACAGCAGGACTTGTGAAAGAGAAGAGTGAATTGAGGGACGACATAGGTCCCCCAGACCCAGAGTCTCCATCATCAGTTTCCATAATGGCAGGATCTGACATTTTGGTGAGAAGTAGTAGTCCTTAGATAGTTAATAATCTTGAGTGATGAAAATAGACCACTTCTGTAAAGAAAAATAAATCAATGTAGCAAATCTAGAAAACTTAAGCAGAAGCCCAACAGCATATAATAATAATTACAAGGAGACAGAAAGAAAGGACATGAATGGCTAGGTTGTAGAGTACTGAGATTGCAGATGATGACATATGTTTGAGACAAAATAAATGGAATATGTACAAAAGTTGTGATAGGCAGGTGTAAGGTACCTAGCCTCAAAGACAGGGATACAGAACCAGTACAGCAAGTGTAGGTAAAACAAGGCTGGGAATCGGAAATGTGGGAAAATAAGAACTGCAAAGACCTACAAATGATTTATAATAATAAAACGATGTGCTGGCACATTGGCGCCGTGGGCAGCTAGTGAGAGATAATGCTCTAACCCCAAAATGAGCGACGGGCAAATAACAATCCAGGCAAACTTATCAGATAGTATTCAGTTGATCGGCGATACAAGAATGTTTAGTACTAGACAAGTTGGGAGAAAGAGATTGAAATTTAAGACAAAACTAGGAAACTTTAAAACATAAAGCACAAGACTGCATCTATTCGAGAAAAAATTGCAATATTTTAGATAGGTTGTAAATTGTACTGCTCGATAACTTAACTTACCTGTGTCAATCAAACGATGGCGCAAATTTAAGACATAATTCGGCTAGAACAAATTGAACCAACAAAAACAAATATGAATAATTAAAGAAGGATAACTAGGCTTCTGTTTACTGGCGACAGGATGTCGCGGAACACTCGGGATCTACTTTCTGACGGCGCCACTAGTATTCATACGCGTCTCTGAAGCTCAAACTTTATAAATGCTGTGCAAAAAAATGGCAAGGTACAGCGCATCAGTAATGCGCTTTAGAAACCGTTTTATTCAAATCGTTATACTCAGTCCGTAAATAATTTTTGCACTTTTCGCCTAAAGAAGAGATAAGTGAAGAACTATTTTATGCGATGCTGGACTTGGTTATCCCAGTCATCTCTCACCTCCCACCTCCCCCACCTGCCCCACTCCTCATCCCTTCTCAATCCCTCTTTCCCGGAAATGGGGAAATAGCCAGGCCAGGAGTGTGCCTCTTCGACACTTTCATGTTTTATGGTATGCTACCCCTTGTTTACCCTGCCCCTATGAAATAGACAACACGCCACAGCAAACTAGAATTTTTGCAAAGGAGCGGCGCTACAGAGATGGAAGGAACATGACGTGAGTAAGTTATCGGTCAGGCGAAGATGTGATCGAGAATTCGAGAATTTGTCAGTACATGCTCTACATTTTGTTTTTATTGTTATGTGAAACTACAAATGCCTGAAGGCTTTGAGCCGAAAGTCATAAATCTGACCTGATATCGGGATCCTCCCCGAGACCCAAGTCACCCAACACGACGCGGGATTTCCCTCCCAGTTTTCGAGATTCCGTCATATGGCTGTCGATACTAATGATTGGTGTATGCTTTTCAGTGCCTCTAGTATGAAACTCAGAGCAGGTTGTACACGAATGAAGGGTGCGGTGTCCCCCGAGCACCCCGAGGCATGTTTCAAATAGCGCCTGCTAAGCGCTGCGTAGGCAGCCCGCGAAGCAGCTGTGCGAAGAGGGCGGCCCAGTCTCTCTTCTCTACCCGCCAGGCGCCCCGAGTTGCGGA